TCTCGGCTACTCTTTTAGTCTTAAAGTGAAGTGAGGCTATATTTTGGCCCAGAAGCTCGAAAGTGAGCGTTCAAAAAGTTTTGCTTTGTCCATTTCACTGGAAACCAAGGCCATCAGGAATTAGATTAGAGACCCCGGGACTGGAAAATATTCCCGAACTCCGGGGTAATCGAGCTGAAATTGGTCAAAATCACGATGCGCGTAAGGCGGTCTCGAATACTCTTTCAGTGTTCAAGTGAAGTGGGGCTATATTTCGGGCAAGAAGCTCGAAAGTCTGCGTTCAAAAACTTTTTCTGTGTCCAGTTTTACTGGAAAACAAGGCCATAAGCTTTTAGTTTAGAGACCACGCGACTGGAAAATATCCCCCAAGGTCCGGGAAATCGAGCAGAAGCTGGTCAAAATCACGATGCGCGTAAGGCAGTCTCGGCTATTCTTTCAGTCTTGAAGTGAAGTGGGGCTATATTTTGGCCCAGAAGCTTCAAAGTGAGCATTCAAAAAGTTTTGCTGTGTCCATTTCACTGCAAACCAAGACCATCAGGAGTTAGGTTAGAGTCCCCGAGACCGGAAAATATCTCCTAAGTTCCGAGAAATCGAGCCAAAGTTGGTCAAAATCACGATGCGCGTAAGGCGGTCTCGGCTACTGTTTCAGTCTTAAAGTGAAGTGGGGCTATATTTCGGCCCAAAAGGTGGAAAGTGAGCGTTCAGAAGGTTTTGCTGTGTCCATTTAACTGCAAACCAAGTCCATTGGGAGTTAGTTTAGCGTCCCCGGGACTGGAAAATATTGGCTAATATCCGGGAAATCGAGCCAAACTGGCTCAAAATCACGATGCGCGTAAAGGGCCCTCGGCTACTCTTTCAGTCTTAAAATGAAGGGGCTATATTTCGACCTAGAAGCTCGAGACCGGTTGTGTGCTAATTTTACCTGTGTCCATTTGACTGACATCTTAGGCCATCAGGAGTTAGTTTAGAGAAAATTATTACTTTACAAGTTCTGGCAGATTAAGCCAAAGTTGCTTAAAATCACGATGCGCGTAAGGCGGTCTCGGCTACTCTTTCAGTCTTAAAATGAAGTGGGGTTATATTTTGGCCGAGAAGCCCGAAAACGAGCGTGCGCTCCTTTTACCTGTGTCCATATCACTTAAAACTAACTAACTAACTAACTCCTTTTGGCCTTGGTCTGCGGTGAAATGAACACAGCAAAACTTTTTGAACGGGCACTTTCGAGCTTCTGGGCCGAAATTAGCCTCACTTCACTTTAAGACTGAAAGAGTAGCGGGGACCGCCTTGCGCGCATCGTGATTTTGACCAACTTCGGCTCAATTTCCTGCAATTTGAGAAATATTTTCCAGTCCCTAAGAGTCTAAACTAACTCCTGATGTACTTTGTTTGCAGTGAAATGGACACAGCATAGCTTTTTGAACGCTCACTTACAAGCTTCTGGGCCAAAATATAGCCCCACTTCACTTCAAGACTGAAAGAGTAGCCGAGACCGCCTTACGCGCATCGTGATTTTAACCAGCTTCGGCTCAATTTCCCGGACCTTGGGGGATATTTTCCAGTCCCGGGGACTCTAAACTAACTCCTGATGGCCCTGGTTTGCAGTAAATTGGGCACACCAAAACTTTTTTAACCCTGAGTCTCGAGCTTCTGAACCGAAATATAGCCCCACTTTACTTTAAGACCGAAAGAAAGGCAAAGACTGTCTTGCGCGCCTCGTGGTTTTGACCCGTTTCGGCTCGATTTCCGGCAACTTGGGGGATATTTTTCAGTCACAGTTACTGTAAATTAACTCCTGATGGCCTTAGTTTTCAGTGAAATGGACAACAAAATCAGGACACGCACGGTGTCGAGCTTCTGGGATGAAATATAGCCCCACTTCATTTTAAGAGTGAAAGAGTAGCCAGGACTGCCCTACACGCACCGTGATTTTGAACAGCTTTGGCTGGATATGCCGGATCTTGGGGGATATTTTCCAGTCCCCGGGACCTTAAGCTAACTCCTGATGGCCTTAGTTTTCAGTTAAATGGTCACAGGCAAAAGGAGCGCACGCTCGGTGTCGAGCTTCTAGGCCGAAATATAGCCCCATTTCATTTTAGGACTGAAAAAGTAGCCAAGACCGCCTTCCGCGCGTCATGATTTTGACCAACTTAGCCTTGATTTGGCAAAAGTTAGGGGATATTTTTTAAGTCCCGGGCACTCTAAACTAGCTTCTAATTGCCTTAGTTTTTAGTGAAATGGACACAGGGAAAAGGAACGCAGGCTCGGTTTCGAGGTTGTAGCCAAAAATATAGCCCCAGTTCATTTTAAGACTGAAAAATTAGGCGAGACCACATAACAAGCATCGTGATTTTAAGCAACTTTGGCTTGATTTGGCGGAACTTGAAGATATTTTCCAGTCCCGGAGACTCTATACTACCTCCTGATGGCTTTAGTTTTTAGTGAAATGGACACAGTGAAAAGAACCGCACGCTCAATGTTGAGCTTCTTGGCCGACATATTGCCCCACTTCATTTTAAGACTGAAAAAGTGGCGAAGACCGCGTTACGCGCATCGTGATTTTGAGCAAATTTGACTGGATTTGCCGGAACTTGCGGGATATTTTCCAGTCTGGGGGACTCTAAACTAATTCCTAATGGCCTTAGTTTTTAGTTAAATTGACCAGGTAAAAGGAGCGCACGCTCGGTGTCGAGCTTCTAGGCCGAAATATAGCTCCACTTCATTTTAAGACTGAAAGAGTAGACGAGACCGCCTTATGCGAATGGTTATTTTGAGCAGCTTTGGCTCGATTTTCCGTAATTTGGGGGATGTTTTCCACGCCAAGGGACTCTAATCTAACTCCTGATGGCCTTACGTTTTAGTAAAATAGACACAGGTAAAAGGAGCGTACGCTCGATGTCGAGCTTCTAGGTCGAAATATAGCCCCACTTCATTTTAAGACTGAAAGAGTAGCCGAGACCGCCTTACACGCATCGTGATTTTAAGCAAGTTTGGCTCGATTTGCCGGAACTTAGGANCGAAATATAGCCCCACTTCATTTTAAGACTGAAAGAGTAGCCGAGACCGCCTTACACGCATCGTGATTTTAAGCAAGTTTGGCTCGATTTGCCGGAACTTAGGAAATATTTATCAGTCCCGGGGACTTTAACCTAACTCCTGATGGCCTTAGTTTTCAGTGAAATGGGCAGAGGTAAAAGGAGCGCACTTTCGGTGTCGAGCTTCTAGGCCGAAATATAGCCCCACTTCATTTTAAACTGCGAGAGTTGCCGAGACCGCCTTACGTGCATGGTGATTTTAAGCAGCTTTAACTCGATTTGCCGGAACTTGGGGGATATTTTCCACTATCGGGGACTCCAAACTAACTCCTGATGGGTTTAATTTTTAGTAAAATTAAGACAGGTAAAAGGAGCGAAGGCTCGGTGTCGAACTTCTAGGCTAAAATATAGGCCCGCTTCCTTTTAAGACCGAAAGAGTAGCCGAGACCGCCTTACGCGCATCGTGATTTTGAGCAGCTCTGGATCGATTCAACCAAACTTGGTGGATATTTTCCAGTCTCGGGGATGCTAAACTAACTCCCAATGGCCTTGGTTTAATGTTAAATGGACACAGCAAAACTTTTTGAATGCGCACTTTCGAGCTTCTGGGCCGAAATATAGCTCAACTTTACTTTAAGACTCAAAGAGTAGGCGAGAGCGCGTGACGCGCATCGTGAATTTGAGCAACTTTGGCTCAATCTGGCGGAACTTGGGAAATATTTTCCAGTCTCGGGGGCTCTAAACTAACTCCTGATGGTCTAAGATGTCAGTGAAATGGAGACACAAAACTTTTTGAACGCTTACTTTCGAGCTTCTGGGGCGAAATATAACCCCAGTTCACCTTAAGATTGAAAAAGTAGCCGAGACCGCCTTACGCCAATCGTGATTTTGACCAACTTCGGGTCGATTTGCCGAAACTTGGGGGATATTTTTCAGTCCCGGGGACTCTAAACTAACTCCTGATGGCCTTGCTTTGCACCGAAATGGACACAACAAAACTTTTCGAACGCGCACTTTTGAGCGACTCGGCCGAAATATAGCCCCACTTCACTTTAAGACTGAAAGAGTAGCCGAGACCGCCTTACGTGGATCTTGAATTTGAACAACTTCGGCTTGATTTCCCGGAACTTAGGGGATATTTTCTAGTCCCGGGAACTCTAGACTAACTCCTGATTGCCTTGGTTTGTATATAAATAGACAGTGCAAAACTTTTTGAATGCTCACTTTCGAGCTTCGGGTCCGAAATAGAGCTCCACTTCACTTTAAGGCTGAAAGTTTAGCCGAGACCGGCTTAGGAGCATCGTGATTTTGACCAACTTCGGCTGGATTTCCCGGAAATTGGGGGATATTTTCCAGTCCCGGGGAATCTAAGCTAACTCCTGATGTCTTTACTTTTGGGTGAAATGGACACAGGTAAAAGAAGCGCACGCTAGGTGTCGAGCTTCCAGGCAGAAATACAGCCCCACTTCATTTTAAGACTGAGTGAGTAGCCGAGACCGTCTTACGCGCATCGTAATTTTGAGCAACTTTGGCTCGATTTGCGGGGACTTGGTTGATATTTTCCAGTCCTGGGGACTCTAAACTAACTCCTGCTGGATGTATTATTGAGTGAAAAGGACCGAGGTAAAAGAAGCACACGCTAGCTGTCAAGGTTCTA